GCTGGGATCGATCAGTGATTACTTTCTGTCCCTTTCCAATGGATGGGATTTAGAAAGCTATTTGAAGTCGCTCTCAAAAGTTCTCAGAAATTTAAAACTTAGTTCATGCATGACCATGAATCCGAAAGAAGGAAGTACTGGTCCATGTACGGTAAGTTGTGATCCTCTTTGTTTCTTTTTTATATCTTTTCTATTTTTCTTCCCTATCTTGCTTTTGTCCTCTTTCTCCCTCTTTTTTCTCATTAGCACTAAAACTGGAAGATGCATCTTTAAAGTGAACTTCGTTGAGTCCATCATTGATTGGTGGAGATAATTGGTTTTCGATGTTAGGGCAGTCTACCACTTTCTCTTGATAAGGGGGCATTTTTGTATACTTGACCTTCTTTTGGCAAAGCAAAATGGGAAGAGTAGATTAAGCCAAAAGAGTGATTCCGTATTAATTTTTTGGCACATGTACTTCATAAGTATTTTTTTGGCACATGCTTCATAAGTAATTTTACTTCTGGAAAAGAGAACGCAAAAGGAAAAACTAGAAACTACAGTCAAAGTAGAACCTTTCCCACTGCCTTAGGTGCCTCCACTACATATCCATTTGTTTTAATATGATTGGGCTTAATTATAGTGCTTATGATGCCAAACCTTGGGATCCGGAAGTGTTAAGTTGATAGTGAAAGAATGACTTGCACGATGTCCTAGTGTCTTGGTGTGCTATGATAGTTACTCCAAGGTGTATTTTCTTTTGCACTGGTCGAGTAGGTCACATTTACCTGAGGCTAGTGAAACACTTACTAGTTGGATGAGCAAATAGAATAAGGGATATTTATATATGTTTCGTCCTAGATAGGGATTAATATTATATAGAAAGATACATCTGTTAAAAGGGATTAGTCAACTTCCAAAATGATAAAAATCTAAGGTAGAGCAGCAGCAGAAGTCATTGGATTCAATAGACACACCAATAATCAGAAGTTTTCTATATATATGAATTTATTCAATGTTTGAGAAGCTTAAGTAATACACACATTTTTTTTTGGGAAAAGAGAATGAGGCAACTCTGGCTAATGGTAAATGGCTCTTCTACTTCTGGTTGCATTTCTGAAGCAACACTTGCTGATAGTTTTCTTTTTTCTTAGTTTAGGATATCCACTTATTTCATTATTTTTGTCTTTGAATATACTGATATGAATATCTTTATTATATTCCTATCAACTTTTATGCGGTATCAGTACAATATAATGGCCTTGAATGAGAATTCGACATGCTATTCTGTTGGGACTTGGGTCCAATTGGGGTGGAAAGAGATAACTGGAATTCATATAGCCGACCTTACTAGTTCAGGATTGAGGGCAGTTGTTCTAAGGTTATTTTCTGTGCTCCAAGTGTTGCATATTCCATAGTTGCAAATCCTTCGAATATCATATTCTCAAAGTAAAAATCTTAGAAGAACGTAGAATATCTGATCTAAGCAGAGTATTATATGTTAAGGTAGTTAAGAGAAGCTTATATCTGATTGTATATTTGAATGTCAAATCAGGTGGTATACGTGGTTTGCCCTTTCCCTGAGCCTCTTGCGGTTCTACAGACGGTGATTGAATCTTCTATTGCTGTTGGATCTGGGGTTCTTTCTTCAGATAAAGAGAGGCGGTCTACGCTGCACAATCAAGTCGGGAAGGCCTTAAGTTACTCAGCAGCTGTGGATGAGGCACTCTCAAATGTTTTAACACTTTCTGGGTTTTGTATCCCTAAACTGGTATTGCAGATTGTCACCGTTGATGCAATTTTTAGGGTTACAAGCCCTGCTCTGAGTGAGCTTGTCATACTGAAGGAAATTGCTTTCACAGTTTATAACAAAGCCCGCAGAATATCTCGAGGGTCCCCCAGTGACATGGTTCAGTCGTCATCCATGCCCGGTAGATCTCATCCAGTTCTGATGCAAATGAACTCCCCAGTTCCAGGAATGTGGAAGGACTGTGTTGGTCCTCGAGGCATAGGAACTTCCCTTCAGAGAGAAGCTGACCTTGATGCAAACCTAAGGCCTGGTAGTTGGGACAACTGGCAAGCATCAAGAGGGGGAGGTCTTGGATGTGAGCCAAACAGGATCGGGGATTTTTCTTTTCAGGATGAAATTCGTTATTTGTTTGAGCCCCTTTACATTCTTGCTGAACCAGGTTCATTGGATCGTGGACTTTCATTTCCGATGTCGGGTAATCCAATGACTGAATCTTCAAAGCTTTTGTTGGATGATGGTACAAGTGGAAGTTTTATGCAGAGTTCAGCTTCTTCAGGTGGTGGAGACACTGGACTGAACACTCAGTCTGAAACATCTGTACCAGATGGTTTTGGATCTGCACATCAAAAATCACTTCCAAGCCTGCATTGTTGTTATGGTTGGACTGAAGATTGGCGCTGGCTGGTGTGTATATGGACAGATTCCAGGGGAGAATTGCTTGATAATCATATATATCCATTTGGGGGAATAAGTAGTAGGCAGGATACGAAAGGTCTGCAATCTTTGTTTGTGCAAATTCTGCAACAAGGATGTCAGATCCTTCAGTCATGTCCACCTGAGGCTGCCATTGCCAAGCCTAGGGATTTTGTCATTGCTCGTATAGGATGCTTCCTTGAGCTTGAATGCCAGGGTAAACATTTGTCATCAATATCTTGTGCTTACTGTCTACTTTTGTTACATCATAATACTCATTGGTGTTGAATTTTGATGAATCTGACTTGCTGTCTCCGTCTTTAATTGCGACAAAGTTTTAGCTGATCTATTTTTTTTTATTTTTTATTTTTTGGTTTGGCTGTGGAACACAAACAATTTAATTCTAATATATCTGTGTGGGATATGATGAATATCTTGATAAAGTATAACCTTGGTTGGTTTTGATTTGAGCGACTAAAATGAAGTTTCTGTTTGATTTATCAATCATGCTTATCTTATTAATGCAATTTTCTGGACGCAGAATGGCAGAAAGCCCTGTATTCAATTGGGGGATCTGAGGTGAAGAAATGGTCTCTGCAGCTAAGGCGATCTGTGCCTGATGGAATGACTGCAAGTAGTAATGGGACATCCTTGCAGCAACAGGAAATAGGTCTGATTCAAGAAAGAGCACTTCCTTCCTCCCCTAGTCCATTGTACAGTTCTCACTCAAAGGCTTCCTCTTTCATGAAAGGTGGCTTAGGTCAACCATCCACAAGGAAGCAGTTAATTGGCGGACAGGGTGTAGTGGACAACTCCAGGGGCTTACTTCAGTTGGTGCAAAGCATTAGTTTTGTCTCTCTTTCTATTGACCATTCCTTACAGCTTATGATTCAAGCGGACTCGACAAGTCATGGTACAATTCCTTACAATTCCTCTCTTCTTTTTTTGTTTTTTTTTTCAGACTACCTGTTCTCTGATAGAGTTGACTGTGGCTTTCTTTTAGATTCTCTTATTTACAATATGGGCTGTAGAGGAGATACTAAGATTATATGAAGTAAAGGGAGGAATAGTGTAGGTTAAGGAATTGTCGTTGGGATATGGGTTACCAAGGGAGTAAAGTGGGATAGGGTTACCATTGCACTTCTGTGTCAGGTTCTTCTTTTGGGTAGTGGTGATGTTGGGGCTTACCATATGAGAATCCATTAAAAAAATATTTTCTTTTGATTTGTCATCAGTTGACATTTTTATGCCTGGTTATTTCTGTTTCATATTCATGCATGGTATAAATTTTGCAGGAACAAGTCAAAGTAGTGGCATTATGAGTCAGCCAGGTTATCTTGAAGGTTATACCCCAGTTAAGTCCCTTGGTTCTACGTCCACCTCCTACATTCTAATTCCGTCACCCAGTATGAGATTCCTACCTCCTGTCAGTCTTCAGCTTCCTACTTGCCTGACTGCTGAATCACCACCACTTGCCCATCTTCTCCACAGCAAGGGATGTGCCATTCCCCTTTCAACAGGTTTTGTGGTTTCAAAAGCTGTACCTACAATGAGGAGAGATGTAAGGAGTATCTCAAAAGAAGAATGGCCCTCAGTTCTTTCTGTCAGCCTCGTTGATTACTATGGTGGCAGCAACGTCATCCATGAAAAGTTTTTGAAGGGTGTTGGTAAGGTTGGGGGAAGGGGTACAGGTTCGGAAACAAGAGATGTTGAAATAGCAGCTCACTTGATTCTTGAGAACATAGCTGCAGAGCTCCATGCTTTATCATGGATGACTGTAAGTCCGGCATACTTGGAGAGAAGATCTGCTTTGCCTTTACATTGTGACATGGTATTAAGGCTTCGGAGACTGCTTCACTTTGCCGATAAGGAAGTTTCTCGGCAACCTGTGAAAAGCCAAGTTTAGGATACGTGTAAATTGCAGCATACACACAACTTGTTCAAGCCGTCCATCTTGTGTCTTTGTTTCGTTATAGAAACAGACTGTAAACACAAAATGCATATACTAGTTCGCTGGAGAACATCCTTTCTGAGAAGTGTTACCTTGGGATAAATTAGTAGTTGTAGGATAGTAGATTTTTATTTTGTACATAATGTCATGTAAACTATTACAGGGATCCAAAGAGTTGAGTACACAATTCTTTAGTCCTAAAAATACTATCAAGTGCTCGAGTCCCTCATTATCTTTACAACATTCCAAGGCACTTGATGACAGGATGGTTTTACTAGACAGCAGATTTGTGACTCTTAGTTCATTTTTTTAATTGCTGAATAGCAGTGCTTAGTGCATGGGAAATGGGGATCTCAAGTTAGGCTAGTTTGGAGAAATGATGTGTCATCTGTACTTTGAATCCTTGAAAATGGCAAAGTTTTGCCTTTGTATTTTCCATTTAATTTCTTTGAGGGGACTAATCTGTTCTCTGGTCTTGTTTTCATTTTACTTATGCTAAATATAAACAAAGATGGAAGGCATGAACACTACCAATCTCAAACTAATAATGATATTATTTATCAAAAATGACTAGCTCTAGCAGTCGTATAAGTGCTTTATGATCACAAGTTTCAAAAGTTAATATAAGTGTCGGTACTTTACTAGTGGATTAAAATGTGTGTTCGTTTATCTAAATAGATCATTTGGCCATTTCAAAACTCAAATGGGCAACAAAAATGACAATTAACATAGGCATATTGTAAAGTTGATTTATGCAGGTATGAATAAGGTAACCAACCACATCATTACTAATGTTGGATTATGAAAAGCAAACTAGTCTCACTTGTTGTCACCATTAAATTTGGATTCATATCAGAATATTTCGAAATTTTTACCTAGGCTTTGGATTCGAGATTTCTAGAGCTAGCTTATATTTTGTATTAGTCAATTGATCTAATAGTCCAATGTGCCAAGGCTTGAGATTGAGATGTTGAAGCTGTTTCTTGCTCCAGTAAAGCTCAGACATTTTGTCAAATTCTGCAATTCAGTTTTAAAGCTTCAAACGAAACTTCAGTTCATCAATCAATCCATAAAGCATTATTCTTTACTTCCCAGAGTAGATTACACATGTAACCAAGATGTTTCCAGGTCAAATAGGATTATTTCAAAGCTAAGCAAAGAGGGTCAGGTTGATGAAGCAAGGAAGCTGTTTGATAAAATGTCTGAACCAGATGTGGTGTCATGGACAGCGATGATTTCAGGTTATATAAGATGTGGGAAGATTGATAAAGCAAGGGAATTATTTGACAGGACTGATGCAAAGAGAGATGTTGTAACTTGGACAGCTATGGTAGCTGCCTATGCCAGGATGAATCGGATTCTTGAGGCTGAGATGCTTTTCAATGAAATGCCTGAGAAGAATGTGGTTTCATGGAATAGTTTAATTGATGGGTATGCAAGAAATGGTAGAATTGATAAGGGTTTGGAATTGTTCTGGAAGATGGGGGAGAGAAATGTGGTTTCTTGGAACATGGTTATAGCAGGATTGGCTCAGAATGGGCGAATCAATGAGGCAAGAGTGCTTTTTGATCAGATGCCTGAGAAGAATGTGGTGTCTTGGACTACAATGATAGCAGGGTTGTCAAGGAATGGGAGAGTCGAGGAGGCTAGAACACTTTTCGATAGGACTCCTGAACGCAATGTGGTTTCTTGGAATGCAATGATTACTGGGTATACACAAAACTCGAGACTTGATGAAGCGTTTGAACTGTTTGAAATTATGCCAGAAAAGATCGTCTCTTCGTGGAATACTATGATCATGGGATTCATCCAAAATGGGGAACTCGGCAGAGCTAGAATATTGTTTGATAAAATGAGGCAGAGAGACGTGGTTTCTTGGTCAACAATGATTAATGGCTACATGCTAAAGGGAAGAAGTGAAGAAGCACTAAGAAATTTCTGTGAAATGCAAATGGATGTTTTGGTGAAACCAAATGAAGGAACTTTTGTGAGTGTTTTGGGTGCTTGCAGTGACTTAGCCGGTCTTAGTGAGGGAATGCAAATTCACCAAGTAATTAACAAAACAACATATCAGATGAATGAAGTTGTCATATCAGCACTTATAAACATGTATTCAAAATGTGGAGACGTAGCAACTGCAAGGAAAATATTTGATGATGGCCTGAGAGGCCAGAGAGATCTGATCTCTTGGAATGTTATGATTGCAGCATATACTCACCATGGTTTTGGAAGAGATGCAATCAATCTTTTCAAAGAAATGCTGCAACTGGGGTTCAAACCAAACGATGTGACTTACGTGGGATTGCTTGCTGCCTGCAGCCACTCAGGTTTGGTGGAGGAAGGGTTAAAGTACTTTGATGAGCTTTGTAGAGACGATTCCATAAAATTTAGAGAGGACCATTATACATGCCTTGTAGATCTCTGCGGCCGAGCTGGAAGACTCAAAGATGCCTTGGTTGTTATTGAACAGCTTCCAAGAACAGAATCAGCGTTCATTTGGGGAGCTCTTCTTTCAGGTTGTAATCTTCATGGAGATTCAGAAACAGGAAAATTGGCTGCAATGAAACTATTAGGGATCGAAGCTAAAAGTTCGGGTACCTATTTGTCGTTGTCAAAATTGTGTGCTTCAAATGGAAAGTGGAAAGAAGCTGCAAAGCTGAGGACACAAATGAAGGACATAGGATTGAAGAAGCAACCAGGTTGTAGCTGGATAGCAGTTGAGAACAGAGTTCATGTATTTTTAGTTGGTGATACATCTCATTGTGAAACTGAGGTTATTCACTCATTACTTGGAAACCTTCATATGAAAATGAAAAGGACTGGTTTGCTCACCAATAGATGATTCTTCAGAGGTAGAGGACTTCCCTATTATCTACTAAGTTTTTGTTCCCTCTTCTTCTTTTCTTGTTCAAGTTATGAATATCACTACTGGTGTTCTTCTCCTAATATTGTCAATTAAAAATGTTATTTTAATTATATGATGCCCTATACAGTATGCTGGACCCCATTTTTTTGTTCTTATAAGGTAGTCTCATGCCCGGGCTCACTCGTGAAAAGGTTCTAGCATTAAGATAAAGGCCTTTTTCTGAGATACCCGCACGAGTTTAATAATACCTACTAGTAAGCACAGTAGATACTCCTTCATACTAGGGACCAAGGTTAAATCTCAAGTTGATTTGTTTTCGATTTTCTCTACTCAATGACATTCAAATAACTAATTATTGGTCTTTGTTTTTGGCATTATAATATGTATCTTCACTTTGCGGAGACAGCTAATTAAGAATTAGTGATGATGATTTGATTGAGAAACTGAAGCATATATTGTATCATGTTGTGATATGCAGAGTAGTGATGCCACCAATGACAAGGAACAGATCATAAAATAATACTCCACAGCCACATGCTATTGAATATTATGCTCAAAGAGCCACTAAGGGGGGCTTTATCATTTCTGAATCAGCTAGTGCTTCGGACATCTCCAATGGGTAAATAGTTTTAATTTCTGTGTATATGTTTTTCTGTTTATGAAAAACTTTATATCTTAAGTATTTTCATTCAGATGCTGTTTGTAGAAATTTTTAAGCCACTACATATCATGCACAATATATAGTGTTAGAGAACTCCAAATTTTTGAATTTTGAAATGGAATGTGTTCTGACATAAAGATGTACCTACCTTATAATTCATAAAGCCGACCCTAACTATGTATATTGAGATTGAGATTTTAATTATTGTTGTATTTGAAGGTCCCCAAATATGCCTGGAATTTGGACTGAAGATCAAGCAGAGGCATGGAAGCCTATTGTTGACTCTGTTCATGGCAAAGGTGGTGTCTTTTTTGCCAGCTTTGGCATCCAGGGAGACTATCCGATTCAACTCTCAACAATTTCCTTATAGCTTGGAATGCAGGTAATAAATTCATTAAATTAACTTGGATTTGATACATTGCTAGCTAGATTCTACGTTTGCTGTGAAGATCATTTGGCCTAGCCTCTTTATATGGACTTAGACAATCCTTGTCCCGTGAGCTAACTAGCTTATTGTGCTGCCTTTGTGAGCTAATGGTGGACATCTATCAGTTCTTGAGTTTATTTTTGCGATTGAGTTATGTTCAAGATCCAATTTTTGATATATTAACCTAATGGAATAACAATAATGAATGCTCTTGTATTTTGTTCTTTACGACGTGTAGTACCTGACGATGGTGAGTACTTCAGACCAACACAAAAGCAACTTCAAGCTAATGAACTCCCTCTCATCATCAACGATTTTAGAAATGCAGCCCACAATGCCATTGAAGCTGGTAACTTATCCATTATTTTAGCACAACTTTAGGACATTGCACAACTTTTACTTGATAAATGATCACTTAATTAACATGTTAGCATTCCTAATTAAAGGATTTGACGGAGTGGAAATCAACGCTGCGAACAGCTACATAATCGATCAATTCTTGAACGATCAAGTCTGTTGAGATTAGTTATACTTTAATTCAACTAATTATATTATTGTAAAGGAGTTAGCTGATTCTGTTAATTAGTTAGTTAGTTGAATTCTGTTAATTAGTTAGTTAGTTGAAGTTAGTTAGAAGTTCGTTGTATGTACATGTATAAATACTAGAAGCATGGGAATAGAGAACACGCATTTTCCATTTCTTCCAAACTCAACAATCTGCTTGCTTTGTTCATCTCTCACATGTATGCTCTGCTCCATTAATGGAGTTTCTGCAGTTATTGATCATCTATATACAAATCTAACATGGTATTAGAGCACATACACTGATCTCTTCTTCATCTTCTGCATCATTCATTCATTCTTCATTTCTTTCACGAATAATTGTTCTTCATCTTCTTCATCTTCTCGAATTTTTCTTTTTCGATTTCTGTACTTAGATCTCAAAGGTTTAGCTCAATTTTTCCATCAACATCCTGCAAACTCATGGATCAAAATGCAGATGTTCCTCCAATCCCAAACCGGCAAGTCATCGATGCTAGTCAGCCACTGTACATGCATCCATGAGAAAGTGCTGGGTCTGCTATAATTTCGATGATTTTTGACGGAACTGGTTATAGATCATGGCGACGTGGAGTTCTTCGTGCATTATCTGTGAAAAACAAAGTAGGTTTTATTAATGGCAAAGTGCAGAAACCAAATGTAAATTCACCCACATTTGCTCAATGGGAACGTTGTGATGATATGGTCACATTATGGATCCTCAATTCTCTATCAAAGGATTTAGCTGATAGCCTGCAATATGTTAATAATGCAATGAAATTGTGGGAGGAACTGCAAGATAGGTATGATCAGACAAACGGTGCGAAACTCTATCAACTTCAACAAGAAATTAATGATCTCGCCCAAGGAAATTTGGACATTATAGGGTACTATTCCATGCTTCGAAGACTCTGGGAAGAGCTTAATACTCTGGATCCTAATACTCAATGTACTTGCTTGTGCAATTGTGGTGGTAAGACCAAAATGCACAAGGCGGAGCAGGATAGGAAGCTTATCCAGTTTTTAATGGGGCTTAACGAGGTCTATACTATCGTTAGAGGGAGTATTCTAATGATGAACCCACTGCCAACTATGTCACAAGCCTTCTCTATTTTAGTCCAAGAGGAGAAGCAATGAGAAGTCAGACCATCAAGGAGTGGCCTTTACTTCTTCTGCTCAAGGTGTCCTAATTCTGTCTGCTCAAGGTGTCCTAATTCTGTCACCTCATTTACACCATTATCTCATTGTCCTTTTTCACATGCCTCTAATGTTCATTGTTCTTCTTCACATGCTCCTAGTGAACAAGCTTTACATCATATTTCCTCATCTGTCATTTCAAGAAATAAAACAGCTTGTTGTAACATGAATTCATCTGTTACTTCTACTAATTGTTCTGAATCCACTAAATCTTTTTCATTATGTACATCTCATGAAAATAATGTAGACTACTTGTGGCACACTAGATTAGGACATGTTCCTTTTGTTAAAATGAAGGGTATCCACACTATACCTTTTAAATTCTCACCCAAACAACTTTTTATATGCACAGTCTGCCCCATGGCAAGACAAGCAAGAATGCCTTTCTCATCAAACTCAACATCTTCTTCTACAAAAATTTTTGATCTTCTCCACATAGACTTATGGGGACCTTATCACACACCAACATATGACAATCAAATATTTCATCACAATAGTTGATGATTATAGCTGGTCAACATGGACTCAACTTATCAGTTGCAAAAGCAACACCCTCCAAGCCATAAAAGCTTTTACATCCTTGGTAGAAAATCAGTTCAATATCACCATTAAAACAATAAGAACTGATAATGGTATGGAATTTGTCAATAAAGAAACAACTAATTTTCTGCAAAACAAAGGAATCATACATCAAAAAACTTGCCCATACACACCACAACAAATGGTGTGGTAGAAAGAAAACATAAATATCTACTTGAGATTGCCAGAAGTTTATTGTATCAGTCCAAACTTCCCATGAATTATTAGGGAGAGTGCATTTTAGCTGCAACCTATCTAGTGAACAGACTACCATCCAAAGCCATTCAAAACAAAACTCCTTTTGAAGTATTATACCAAAAACCGCCTACATATTCACACCTAAGATCTTTTGGCTGTCTTTGTTATCCTATCACTCTTAAAACTCACAAGGATAAGTTCGAATCTAGATCAGTTCCTCATATTTTCATTGGATATTCATTCAACACAAAGGGATACAAGGTCTTAAATGTGAGCACCAAGAAAATACATATTTCAAGAGATGTCTTATTTCATGAAAGTATCTTTCCTTTCGCTCTTTCTTTTCCTGATTCTAGTTTTAATTCTGTATTGAGGTGTCTTGATGTTAATTTTGAATTGTTGAACTGCACAAACAGTCCTTTGAATAATGTTCATGATTTGAACGAAAACACCCTGATTACTGTCACAGATAACTCTGTTAATGCCAACTTACCACACACTGATAATACTACTCCATCAATTAATCCAGAAATATCTCCACATATTACCATTTCTAATACTTCTACCTCCAGTTCACAACAACCTATTACTACCATTTCCAGTTCACAAAGATCAACCAATACACCTAGAAGAACAAGTAGGACACATTCTGTACCAAAATACCTAAATGAATATATATATAACCTTCCCAATTTACAACCTCAATCATCAATTTACCACCCTTCTAATAGCATCAATAACACCAATGATCAACAATTTTCTCTTACCAGTTTTAACACTGAAAGTCAGCAGTTAATTGAAAACATATTTCATGATAGTGAGCTAAGTACATATGGAGAGGCTGCCATGATTCCTGCTTGGCAATCAGCAATGACACTTGAATTTGAAGCTTTGCATGCTAACAATACCTGGAGTTTAGTTCATTTACCTGCAGGGAAGAAACCAATTAGATGCAAATGGGTCTACAAGATTAAACATAAGGCTGATGGAATTGTGGAAAGATTCAAAGCTAGACTTGTAGTCAAGGGATACACTCAACAAGCTAGTATTGATTATAATGAGACATTCTCTCCAGTAGTAAAGATGACCACTGTGTGACTATTAATCAGTTTAGCTGTTAAGAAAGGTTGGGACCTATATCAGCTGGATGTGAATAATGCATTTCTACATTGAGATTTGAATGAAGAAGTATATATGGAACTTCCACAGGGACTGCAGGTGAATAAAAAAAGACTTGTCTGTAAACTTAACAAGTCTTTGTATGGGTTGAAACAAGCTAGTAGGCAATGGTATGAAAAATTAGCAAAGGCATTGTATTCAAGAGGATATTCACATTCTACCAGTGATTACTCATTGTTCTACAAGAAGGATAAGTCAACTAAGGTTTTTGTAGCAGTGTATGTTGATGATATAATATTGACAGGAACTGATCTAGATGAGATTACATCCTTAAAGTCATTTTTACATGACCAGTTCAAAATTAAGGATCTAGGAAGACTTCATTATTTTCTGGGGTTGGAGATTCTCTACAAACAAGATGGGGTATTCATCACACAGAAGAAATTTACCACAGACTTACTCAAAGAGTTTTATTGTTCACATTATAGTCCAACTACTTCTCCTCTCGACAGTGTGATTAAGTTGAAGTCTCATGAAGGAACTCTGTTAACTGATCCAACATACTATAGGAAATTAGTGGGAAAGTTGAATTTCCTTACAAATACTAGATTGGACATTGCATTTAGTGTACAACATCTCAGCCAGTTTTTACAAACACCTAGAGAGCCTCACTTGAAGGCTGCTTTCCATGTATTGAGATATTTGAAGAATAGTCATACACTGGGAATCTATCTATCCAAAGATCCTAACTATACCATCACTGCTTATTGCGATTCAGACTGGCTGCATGCGCCGATTCCAGAAAATCAGTGAGTGGATACATAGTGTACTCATGGGGAACTATCCTATAAGTTGGAAATCCAAGAAACAGACTACTATTTCACTTTCTTCATCCGAAGCATAGTACAGGGTAATAAGAAAAGTAGTTGGAGAGTTGGTTTGGCTTGAACGTTTGTTTTGTGAATTAGGTGAAAAACCTTCTCGACCTATTGACAGTCAAGCGGTCATCCATATTGCAAACAATCCTGTGTTTCATGAGAGAACCAAGCACATAGAGGTTGACTGCCATTTTGTTCGAGACAAACTACATGAAGGACTTGTGATTCTGCATCACATTCCTACTGATGAACAACTGTCTGATATTTTAACCAAAAGCCTCACTGGACCAAAGTATTCAACTATTTTACGCAAGTTGTCTGACAACATATGCATTCCAACTTGAGGGGGGGGGGGTGTTGAGATTAGTTATACTTTAATTCAACTAATTATATTATTGTAAAGGAGTTAGTTAGCTGATTCTGTTAATTAGTTAGTTGAATTCTGTTAATTAGTTAGTTAGTTGAAGTTAGTTAGAAGTTCATTGTATGTACATGTATAAATACTAGAAGCATGGGAATAGAGAACACACATTTTCCATTTCTTCCAAACTCAACAATTGCTTGCTCTGTTCATCTCTCACATGTATGCTCTGCTCCATTAATGGAGTTTCTGCAGTTATTGATCATCTATATACAAATCTAACAAAGTCAACGATAGGATCGATGCATATGGTGGAAACATTGAGAACCGTTGTAGACTTGCTCTGGAAATTATAGGAACAGTTGTGGAAGAAATCGGAGCAGACAAAGTTGGCGTAAAACTATCTCTGTTTTCCAAAGTGTACGTGAGAAAAGACTCAAACCCAGAAGCTCTGTCGACTTATTTGGCTAGTGAACTCACTAAACTTGGAGTTTTATATCTACATGTGTTTGAGCCAAGGGATGAACCTTGTTGCCTAAAATCAATTAGGAATGCATTTGAAGGGACACTTATTGCTTCTGGTGGATACAATAAAACTGATTGATGAAGCAATTACTGAAAGTTATTCTAATTTGGTGTCATTGAGCCGTTTGTTTTTGGCAAATCATCCTGATTTGCCTAATCGTTTTGAAGTGAATTCACCATTAAACAAGCATGATAAGAGCACTTTCTATAGGACTGATCCAGTTCTGGGCTACACTGATTATCCATTACTTGAAATTGCTTGTTAGGTTATAATATCTTGGTGAAAGATAAAGATCTTGCTTCTAGTTGATAAAGGGGCTGTTGTTTTCTCAAAATAGAAAACTTACTTTGTATGATGTATGCAAGAAGTTCAGTACTTTTATCCTAGATTTCTTGCTTAGACTCTTGAAATATGTGCCTTAAAAATAGACATCGACAATATTTTTGAAGAGCGTAAATAACATAACTTTTATCTTGTAATTTGGTAAGATAAATGATGATGATTTACTAGTTAGCTTTGTGCAGCTTGTGGGAGTGTATGTCAAATTATGAAGTAACCTAGGAACTTTGCCTACACTTCGTGAGGGCACAAATAATCTTTCTAAACTTTTGAATAATTTTTTTCAGTAGTCTGACTGTTTTAAGAAAAAAGAGTAAATTTTAGTAGGTTTTAAGAACATTTCAATAGAAATTTAATGATTTGACATTATCACGTATCTCAAGAATTGTAAATATATAATGAATGATAAAAAGTATTTTGATATCTAATCATTTTTATCTTTTGCATAATTTATCATAATATACGTTTGATGATATATTTGTCTTGTAAAAATTGAGGTGATGTTTTTATGTAGCGATTTAATATCATTTTTTCTATATTTTTTACATGAAAATATATAATCCGATAATTTTATCGTTAGAATAACTCCTTGTATAAAAAATTATGTGACAGTTTTCGATAATTAATATTACCTATAAATAAGTTAAGACCGTTAAAATGTACACGACAACAATATAAATAAATTTATTTATAGACAATCTACTTGTTTGTGGTCAATCGTTCACCACTTTCGTTATTGTTACTTTGTTACTCTAACAAAATTTTTAGGTAGAGAAAAATAAATTTGAAACAACACCAAAATAATATTATTTATATGAGCCATATTATGCCCACTCATATGTACCTATATTCTTGACCATTATCGCATATTTTTGCGGTTTTTCATGCGGTGTTTGATACTCATATTGAAGCTAGTGTTATCAAAAGCAAAAAAAACACAAAAAAACTTTAATGTTTGTTGAGGCTGTAAGCCAAAGTGTAAATTAAGTGTGGACTTTAACAAAAAAAGCTTAAATGCAGACAAAAATAGATACATATATATATATATATATACACACACACACACACATATATATATATATAGAGAGAGAGAGAGAGAGAGAGCCCAAGAATAATTTGGAAGCATAAATGACAACTATATGAATTAAAATAGAAAAATAATCACGATAAAGTGAAAATATAAATTGCTTAGTGTCATCTC